AGTCAAAATTGTAGATGGAAATATCAAGGATAGTGGTCGTGAGAAGTGAAGTTGTTATGACAATAATTAAGTCAAAATTGTAGATGGAAATATCACGTAAAGTGAGAAGAAGAGTTTTCATAACAATAATAAAGTTGAAATATATAGGTGGAAATGATAAGTATAGTAGCTATGAAAAAAACATTCATCCTAACAATAATTCAGATGAAATTATAGAAGGGAATGATAAATAAAGCAGTCATAAGAATATTGTGTAAAGTAACCATGGGAAGGACAATAAGTAAATTGAAAGTAAGCAAGTAATAGAAATACTTCCTGCTAGTAGTTTCATATAGAAGGCTAGAACTTTTTACAATATGTTTGCATAACCACTTATAATAGAAAATGGTATTGTTAAATGCTATGTTATTTGTGGGCCATTATTGTAACAAAACACAGGCCATCTGATGTAGAAGTTAATATTTCATTGACTGATGTACTGTTAAATGTAACGTTACATACATAATAGCTGTTACTTTTGTGACTTCTCTGTTGTTTAAAGGTATCTTGTATTTCATCATCCAGTGTCTAAAACACAAAGCTATACAAAAACTTTCACCCATTAACTCAGGTCACAATAACCCTGTCTGTCAAAGTCAGTTATTTTCTTCTGTTTGGTGACGCATAAAAAACAAGGAATTTTTATATATGTTTTGAACATTTTATGTGTTACCAGTTTATCTTTTTGAGCACTAGTTTGTGAAATTCTTATTTTAATTCAAAGTTTTTCAATTATCAAATAAAGAATCTAGTCTACCACAGACTTTTTCTTTTCCAATTTATCACTTTTAAAAAATGTGTACATAAATGTATAAATATGGGAAACATGTGAATTATTGTTAACTTGTGTCCAGCTAGAGAATGATTTATGAAGATAAACTTAAAAAACAAGTTACTTTTAAGTTAGTTGAACAAAAAGAAGAAAAGGTTTTTATTCATTATGTAAGAAGTCATACATATTTTATAGCAGATATCTTGTTCCACAGTTTTTATAGTAATTTTATGATACATATGTACATTAAAAAAAATATCAACTAAACCCTTTTTTAACCATGAAAATAATCAACATTTAATATATTACATGATTTTTAATAGCAAGCTGTTTAAAATAATTTTTGTTCTTGCTGTATGCTTGTTTATCCTAAAATAGGATATTTCTCTCTTCTCTTTTGATCAATAGAAACAGGCTGTTCTAGTGAATAAAAAAAATAACTGTTAAAGGTTGCAGAGACATAATGTTAACCTTTAGTATGACATTTAGACCTGTTGGTCGTTTCTTTAGTGTGATGTTTTATTTTCATGATTACCTTCCTAATTGGCTTGATGTCTTGAATGGGGACGTAAGTAATTTCTCTATACATGTACTCGTAGTCTGCATGAGACTGTAGTGTGAGCAGAACATTTGTAGTGTATTAGTATCGTTATGAGTTTTGTAAACTGTGTGTGAAGGAACATTATTTGATTTTCAAGTCACTTGTCTGAAGGTAGATCTTTAATGAATATATTATTATAATTTTATTCAACACATATGTGCATACCTTAACTAAATGGTCTAACTTTTATGTGTGCTTGCACAGTGAAAAGTGAAAATTATATTACTGTAATATTAAAGTACCTAAAATATTTATATTTCATCTTTCTCAAGAAAAATTAGTGGAATTAGGCTGAAATTAAAAAAAGAAGCTTAAAATTCTTGCATATTTATAAACAAGTGGACAGAATGTGTTTTTGTTTTTTCTGAATAAAAATCAGTTAGCATTAATTATTTTTGTCAAGTAAGTTTGTCGTTACTAAACTTGTCCAATGACAGAAGAATCTGAAGCAAGTCTGGAAAATGTCACTGAGATCACATCATTTTTTTTATATCCTTATCATGCATCGAAAAACTTATCGAAGCACCCGTTATGGAATTTATTAATTTTACTAGTGTTAAACCTGGAATGGATTGCATCTGCCTGAAATTTTGTCAAAGAAAACATTCCAGCCTTTGCCAAAATCATCCTTAAAACAATTACTTTTATCAGGTGCTTGTGTGACTTGCTTTAGATTTTTAATATGTATAATATACATCATGGGTATGTTAATACAGCTTGATCACAATCATTTTTAACTAAAACCTTAACAGAAGTAAAGGTCATTATCTTTCTGTGTTTTAAAATACATTAATTTAGTAGGTTACATTTATTGATATTTGTTTCTTTTGCATTGTATTTGAATTTGTAAATCTTCAGTCCCTAAAATTAGAGTGTAATTATGAACTTAAAATAACATCCTGCTGAAATTGAATGTTATTTTTGTGAGTTTAAATCAAACAATTGCCCTTTTTGTATCTATAAAGTTAAAAAATTGTTTGGTCCTCTTTCTTCAACATGTATATTAAACATGGCTGGTAGTATTAATTTTTGGTCTAGTTACACAATAATTAGTGAAAGTAAAGATAAATAATTTTGCTAATTTCTTTGACAACTGATAGATAAAAAAAGAATAAAGTTTCATCTGCATCAAATGCTGAAATTAGGCTAAGCTTATGTAACATTACAGGCAAGGACTATAAAAAACAGGCTTAACAATTACAGTTCTGAAGCATGTTTAATTTATATGTGTGTATGTATATCTATCTCTCTCTCTCTATATATATATATATTTCTAGTAATTGCTCATTAAACCCAGTTTCTGTTTAATAATAATTAACCTACCCAGTTACTGGTTAGTAATAATTTACCCTCTGTATTTATTAACATTTATTTAAGTTCATTAAGCTCTTTGCATTGTATGGTTGATATATTCTACTTAATAATTAGTCACAGTTTCTAGCCTACTAATAAGATACTGTGTTTCAGAGACATTTTTGTGAGGGTTTAATATAATTTCCTACTCTAAAAATACTTACTTTAAATTTCATCTGAAATATGCATTTTATTTATTTCCAAAGGTTAAGACTTTTTTTTTTTTTTGCTAAAATTATAATAAATAATTAATTGAAAACAACGTTTTATATTTACACAATAAAAACTTTATTGAAGCCGTATGGCTTCCATTTTAAAATATCTCTTACAAGTACATGTTTCAACGTCATCTACGTCATCCTCAGTAGTAACTTACAAGACTATTTTATACTTTCCCCCTTGTCGCATTACTTCATTGTTATTTACATATTTCCCTTAATAATAATAAAAAATAATAATAATTATAATATATCTCACCATATATCAACATATTGAATTGCTGGTCCTTCTTCTCTATTTAATACTTGGTATTGTTTTTTATATTTCATTATTTCTAATGTTTCTCTAATATTTAATGATTTAAAACTTCGAGGCTGAGCTAAAACTAAAGTTTTTTCCCATAATATTGTATGTTGGGTAGTTTTTACATCTTAACTTTCCTTAATTGCTATTAAGCATTTAGTTTAAATGTAAGATTTTAATGCACTATGACTGATACCAAGTAATCTTTCCAATATCGAACATAATCTGTTTTCAAAAGATGATGTAACTTATGTGTAGACAGCTATAAATCAATGTACTAGTCCTAGGAGTGTATTAGTTCATGTAGGATCATGACTGTTATACAATTTGACAGAAATTATCCTTCAAGAATTTTTGAGAAAACCTTAAAATAGCATAATGTTGAGTACCCCAGTGGGTCAGTGATGAGTTTATGGACTTAAAACGCTAAAATTCGAGGTTTGTTTTCTCCTGGTGGAGAAAGTATATTTAATCTATTGTGCAGCTTTGTGTTAAAATAAAAGAATAACAAAAGCGTAATGATGAATTTCAGAAATCAACCATGGTAACATAAACTGTGTTAAAATATGTAACTCATGCAATAACAAACAGAATCATTTAAAAATGTCAACAAATGCATTCTTTAAATACCAGTTTCACATTTTAGAATTTTCTAATATTAAAACCAAAGCCAATGATTGACATTAGATTATAAAACTTTAAAATTAGGTTCATCATTTTCAGTTGCAGTGCTGCCATATTTAACCAGTGTGAAATACAAAGCAAAACCTAAATATTTAATCATATAATTTATATTCAATTAGACAATGCTAGAAAAGAGCAGTTTTAATAATGATGGCAGGTCAGAAATTATAGTAAAACGTATATGGGTTAGTCTTACATTTTATATATCTAAAAGCCTAATCTTTTCAATTACAACATTTTTAAAGTAATTATTTTGTGAATTATTATTATGCTCTTGCAGAAGTAACTGTATTATTATCCTTCTAATGAAGTTTTTTCTTCTAAGGTGGTGCAGCGGGAGCTAGAAAAGAAGTTATCCGAAACAAGATTAGAGCTATAGGAAAAATGGCCAGGGTGTTCTCTGTGCTTCGGTATGTGTCATCATGTTAACCAGTTAATGTCAGTAAAAATTACCTTTGGCTAATCAGAGAGTATGTCTATATCAACATCACCTGTATTGTTGGTGTTTTTAGTGATTAAACACTACTATATTCTTTAAAAAGAAGAAATTCAACTCAGCTGTTAAGGAGTAAAACTATTCAATGTTTTAAAGCACTGCTATCTCGATTTATTTTTTTTATTAACTATATATTATCAGTTGTTGTCACAATCTGTTAACCCTTTCTCTGCAGCTGGGATGTATATTTCCCAGTGCTCCCACCCCTCTCACACTTAGACTGGGACAAGTGTTTCCCATTGTCATTCAAAATTGCTGTATGTGACGCATGGGAGTAAAATTAGTTGGAAAGTATTTACTAGTACCCCACCTAATGTTGATATGTGGTTTCCCTCAATGTTTTCCATTCGGCCTTTCAGTAACCAACAAGATGCCTAAGTGGAATGTACGACAACTGTGTGCTGATCATACCTGCATTGCTAGAGCAGCAAGTAGTAACCCTAATTACTATGTAAATATTCTTGATTTGCTTGACTCAGATAACTTAGAAGATAGTGAAAGTGAGTCAAATGATGTTCAAATGTTTGATGATGAAGAGACAAATAAGACAAGAGGATGCTAGCTCTCATGTAATGATGATAGTCAATATGGTGAACCTGGACCCAGCAGAAGAAGGCAAAAACAGTGTCGACAATGGGAAACATTTGTCCCAGTTGCAGTGTGAGGGGGTGGGAATGCTAGGAAATATACTTCCCAGCCACATTGAATGGATTATTCTGCAACGTAGAAAAATTATTTGTAATAAGTATATACTATCTTGAAGGTATTTTTTTCAGTGATGCAGCTTTTTGTGTTGTATTACATTCAAAATATCTTGATTAATTTACATTTATTTCTGGAAATATTAAAGGACCAATTGTGATACATTGGTTAATCTTTCAGCTAAGAAATTGCATCATGATATTTTTGATGTTACTACTAACACAACACATCTGTGGTTTATTAATTCTTTCTGTGAATGTGTGCTGAAATAACTAGTTAAATGTACAGATATGCTGGTTGCTTTGCAGATTAACTGTTATTTAAACTTTCCATACATTTCAAACATTTATACTGCAAAATTGCCATTTATTTCAATAACAGATATATTCAATGAAATAATTCACTTGTTGAATATTGCAGTAGTCTCTTTTGCATTCTGTGTAAAATTAACACACAAATTTCATATTGATATCTGTAAATGTTCTTCATCTGAAATTTATAAATTTGTGAAAATTTTCCAACATAGAGAGGAAAGTGAGAGTGTTCTTCAACTGAAAGGCTTGACCCCAACTGGAACTTTACCATTAGGAGCTCTGTCTGGTGGCAGAACATCACTGAAAAATGGTAAGCTGCATTTCTACTTAGTGATGTTGTTTTAATCTGAAATGGGAAAGTTATACAGTTACGTTTTGATGTAGTAATAGAAAAGATAACTAGTGATGTTTTAAAGTAGTATTAAAAAAGATAACTTGTGATGTTTTAAAGTAGTATTAAAAAAGATAACTTGTGATGTTTTAAAGTAGTATTAAAAAAGATAACTTGTGATGTTTGATCCAGTATTCAAAAAGATAACTAGTGATGTTTTGTTGTAGTACTAGAAAAGATATCTAGCAATGTTTTGATATAGTAATAGAAAAGATAACTAGTGATGTTTTGGTGTAGTAATAGAAAAGATAACTAGTGATGTTTTGATATAGTATTAAAAAGATATCTAGTGATGTTTTGATATAGTATTAAAAAGATAACTAGTGATGTTTTGATGAAATATTAAAAAGATAACTAGTGATGTTTTGATGAAATATTAAAAAGATAACTAGTGATGTTTTGATGTAGTATTAGAAAAGATGACTAGTGATGTTTTGGTGTAGTAATAGAAAAGATAACTAGTAATGTTTTGATGTAGTAATAGAAAAAGTAGCTAGTTGTATTTTGATGTAGTAATAGAATAGATAACTAGTGATATTTTGATGTAGTATTAAAAAAGGTAACTAATATTGTTTTGACTGGAAACAGGAGAGAATTGTACTGAGGTTTCTGTCTTGTTTTTAGAAAGTTTAGGAAGTTATAGTATAAACATGCTGAACAATTAACAAAAAAAATTTACTTCTGTATGACAAAATGGGTGTTTTACTTGATTGGATCTGATGAAAGTTATTTTTCTAGTTAAACATTACGAAAACGTTCTTAATTGTAAATTTTTTAAAAAAATTCCTGTTTTTAAATGTGGTAATGGTACCTTAAGTTACACTGTATAGTCTCTTCATGGACTGGCATTAAGCTATAGAGATTAGCTCCATAAGGCTAGTTTGGAAGTAAATGTATTAATTCATATGTTACTAAGTTTTCGTTCATTTTTATGCATTGGGCTAAGAATGACAGGCATGAATTTTTTTTTATGTGATCTCTTAATTAAAAAGAACTTATTTCAAAGCTTAAATAAAACTTGACTAATCTGGAAATGTATTAGTGCTATAGATAGTGATGAATAAATTTAGTTTCACATTCTGATGTGTTTGCTACATCTGTGAATTTTCCAGTACTTGCTTCTTCTGCAGAACTGGCAGGGTTCTCACCACATCACAGAATTACTAGCTTTGAAGAGGCCAAAGGTTTGGATAAGATAAATGAACGCATGCCACCCCGCAAGGATGCAGCACACACTCCATCTCCAGTGGGCCATGGATCAACAGATGACTCTACATATTCTCAATCTCAGGCATCCATGGCTCAGCATAATGCAACACGCCATAGTTCCTGAGACAATTCCCATGATATGGCCGAGCACACTGGACTTTGGAACCGGCGAGGGGCAGCCTTGAAACTTTACTTCGCCAGTTTTACATCCCAGCCTGGTACTGTTAAGGAAACGCAGCTGATTACTACATAACACCCTGCCAAGTCCTGCATTCAGTTGGGAAATGGAAGTCTGGCACAGAGTGCCATGGTCTCTGCTTTTCTTTCCAGTTCTCTTTTACTTTCTTATTGACTTGTTTTACCTAGAGCCAAGGCACCTTTCCAATCTTTGTTTCCATCAACAAACTGTCAAAGACAATCATGGGATTAAAGGAGATTTGTAAAGAAAGCAAATGGGGAGGAAATATAGTGAGCAGTAGGAAAAACAAGACTGTTTCACATTCCCAGAAAGAATGTAAAGTTGTCTTGGCTCAAGTCTTCAACTCCTGGGCTACCTGTCTCAGACTAAGCTGGAAGAGACAGATGTGCATTCTGTATCAAACCAAGTGATATTTGATATTGACTGTTCAAAATAAAAAAAATTTACTTTGTTTTCACAACTTCTGTGTAACATTAGGTAGAGATGGTCAAAATATCAGCATTGTTTATTTTTTTACACAAAACCTCTAAAAATACCAATCTATAAATATCATTTGTTGTTCATAATGAATGAAACATTTGACAGTCCCTTTATATAATTACACAAGTGATAAGGTAGAGTCAAATTTGCTTATGTTAAAATTTTGTATTTTAGTGAATTTTAAAGTATTAAGAAAAGAATGTGTTCAAATCAAAAGTTTGTTATAAATTCATTACTTTGAATATTTTTTGTGCAATATGAAACCTATTATTTTGATCTATTATTCCATTTTGGAAGTATACATATATATTTGTGTGTGTGTGTGTGTGAGTGAGTATATATATTATTCCTCCCCAATTATTGTTGTTGTTTTTTGTGCATTATAGTGGAAGACAGGTAGCCCAAAGTGTTTGATGGTGTTACAGATATGAGCTGCAATTAATCCCCTCAGCCTGCCCAAAACCCATCAAGTGCTTGGCATTTGGATTTATGATCTCTGTATTTTGTTGTATTTGGCAGCTAACACCAATTAAATGAATAACTTGCATGAGAGACACCTTTACAATAAACATATGGCACACTGTTGTGGAAAGTGAGTTTTGAATTTTATCTCAATACATTGCACATTTTCTACAAAGGGGTGCCTTTTGTTTTCTTTTTTGCTGCTGCTGTATTGCATTTTATGCTTTTTGTATCATGTTTCCAGTTATGCTCTTTTTGAATAGGAAAAAAATGAAAAAACGTTTATCCATCATTTAGAGCTGAACTCTACTTGCCATCTATTTTGCTTGACCTTCCAGCCCCTGGCGGATGTCCATAGGTATATACAAGTGATTTGATGAGCTCTTTTAAAGTCCATTCAAGCATAGTTGGGCATGTTTTGTTAATATTTTCATGGATTGTTAGTTCTGTTATAAAATAAAACATTATAAGCTTTAATCTAAGGATTCCCCTTTCTCCCATTTTTGAAAACGTTTTCAAATTTCACCTTGTATAACTATTGTATATGTGTAGTGATAAATTTCCAACTTATTATCAATACCAAGTTTTTCTCTGGAGTGGGAAGAGCCACTCCTCTCATCTCTCCTCCTACATTGTACAGTTACATGGCATGGGCCTTACAATCTCATAGACGTTTGTCATTTGATGGCTTTACAGAGCTAGGGATGCTTCTGTGGTTTGTTTAAGTATGTGGTGTACTTTGTTAAATACAAGAAAGCCTTAACATGTATGAATAAAAAAAAATGTCAAAGCAAAGACATGCTTTAATGAGGTAAAGCCAGAAATCAGGCCTTAAAAAGTTTTTCATGTATTTTTAAGAAAACTAGTGGTGTTGCTACCAGATGTGTCTTTTTTGATGTTTTCTTTTAAATTCCTTCCTTCCATATATTAGGGTCTGTATCATTACTGCTTAACTCATATTCTCGCACATTTTAGATTGCTGGAAGTTTGATGATAATTAATTTTTTGAACAAAACATCTAAAAGTGTCATTTATTTCAATGCACAATGTGTTGTTGTTTTTGACAAAAACTTTTTCAAAATATTTTGTCTAGAGTATTAAAATAATCTAATATTTAAAAATGTTACCTTATTTTTTGTTTAGTTTTAACTGATTATTTAAGAATAGTTTTCATGGTTGTTTCTTTAAAGATAGACAGATAATTGTAGTTCAGATTTTTTTATTTACAAACTGGACATTGTCCGCCTAGTCATAAATAATATTTATGTGAGAAATGGTGGTTTCATAGATTAAAATTTTGGTCAAGGTTTTGTATGCCTTTTTGTGTAATGAAACTGAAATTAGAGAAAAAGATTATGGCCTGCCAAACTTGTCTCAAGTCAAGAGTCTGTTCTTTTTTTTAATAATCCTCTGAGCTGAAATAGTGCCATTCCTGTAATGTTCTGATTGTTATGTGTTATCATTCAAACACAGTTCATGAGGCACATTTACATCTGCCCCATACTTTACCAAAATTTATATATATGCACTTCAGAGCTTCATTGTCCTTGTGATATATCCCCATCTTGAATTATGTCTGTATCTTTAACTTACTGTTTAAAACATTTATTTTTACTTTTTCCTTTATCATACAGTACCTGAATGATAGTTTCAGAAGGCTTATAGAAATGTCAAAACATTTGTCTAGGATGTTTCTAGGCTTAACAAGAGAAAAAAAAATGTATTTGATGGCTTATGCATGATTAAATTATAAAAGATTCTATCCAGTACTTGTTCCTTTCAAAATAAAATCAATATAATATGACCCTTGTTTGTTGAAACTACAATTCCACTTCCATGTCAATGTTTTTCTTCCTTGCAGTCTTGATGTAAATCTTTTATTATGATAAAATTCAGCTAACAGACATTCAAGTAACAATCTACACTATGGTAAGTTTACTGTTGCATTTCCAAGAATAATTTCTGAATAGATATTTTTTCTTCCGAGAAATATTTAGTGAGGTTATCCACTTTGTGTGAAATATATTCTTAAGTGAGTACACTAGATAAAATATGTATATATTCACAATTTTTTCCTTAGTTATTCATATGTATTTTACCCATGTAACTTGTAAGAATTAGTTCTCTGCATACAAAACTTTTTTGGTAGCATATATTGCATAGAAATTATAGTGTTATGTATAGTATCTATAATACCTTTAATTTTGTTAAAATAAAATGTGGAATATGGTTTTTCCTTTCAAAGTTTTGTTCTATAAGTAAAAGCTATTATTAACGTTTTTATTTTTTTGTTTTTTTCCATTTTCAGAGCTAATCAGTGATTGTTCTTGTATGTCTGTAAGTTTATAAAAAACAACAACTTTTTAACAGTTTTTCTCTTTCAAGAATTTTAATGCCAATAAAATTTCAGGCCTGTTTCCTGTCTACTGTGCACTTGTTGTAAATGATATCACAATGTGATGTTGTAAAGATTTTCGTGTTCAATAAAAATTTAAAAGCAAAATGGATACACAAATAAAACATGTTCTGAAGCGTATTTTATCCATTTTGAGAGTTTTCAACAGATATGTTTAGCTGCAGTATTCCTTCATTGGTTGTACCGTGAATACCACATTTCTGCCATCATTATGTTGTGGCATCTGAAAACCTGGGTATAAATATATCCAACATGCATTATTAAAATGGGCAATTAGTCTACTGGATTGTCACTGAGATTATTTTAAATAAAGTTTGTATCACTTTTAAGTTAGATAAAATTTAACTGCAGTATAAAAGACATTTTGGTTGTTCTTTTGGTGAGTTGTTTCAATCTGTTTAACATTTTGTAATTTTAGATAAGAACCAGAAACACTTGGTTCTATGAACTATACAGAGAGCATTCTGTTCAAACTTACACTTATAAAGCTATTCATAGAACATCCAAATAAACCTAATGTTATAAAATTTAGGGAGTTTTAAGTACAGCCTAAATGTATAATCTGTCTTAGATGTATTCCCTGCAGTTTTCAGTTTTTATTTACCCACAAATATTATCTGAAACTAAAAAATTATCTAGGAAACGTTCTAATAAAATAAAAAGTATAAAACCTATGCAGGGAATATAGTAATAAAAGCTATCCAAAAAAACATAATAGTAAAATCTGAACATAAACAATTATCGAAAGAGCATTCTAAGAAAATTTAAATAAACATAAAGCTATTAATTTAATATTCTAATATAATTTGAACGTGTTAAGCTTTCCAATAATTTACATAAAATATAAAAACAAACAAACTATCCACAAAGCATTTTAATAAAACTAATATACTATATGGCCAATCGGGTAACATTGTAATTAAAAGTGAACACACAAAATTGTTTATGGCACATTTTAATATTGTTTGACTTGTAAACTATCTAAAAAAAAAGAGCACTATAATATACATCTCAGAAGTATTGTATTACAGATATGTATGCTTATGATTCCACGCACAAAAAATATCTGATCAAAGAAATGATAATTTCACTTCTCATGGTAAAAAAACAGAAAATGAAACAATTCAGAGTTGCCATGCTTATATTTTGTTGTTTCCAATTTTCATTTCGGTACCGAGGATTTCTCCAACAAAAATTGCATCTTTGGCATGACCAATCTGAAAGTGGTGGCTTAAAAGTAGTACAACTTCACATATAAAACTGAAGCTTTCCTTTGCACTGGGAAATAAAATTTAAAGACTTAAAAACTCTCTTTCTTTTTACATATCTATAATAAAGTGCATTGTATCTGTGTGTGATCACCATAGCTCCCAGAGGAAAGTACTTAATAAACGTTTAATGCATGTTTAATTTTGCACCCATACTAAGTAGACCATGAGGGTGTGCACCTGGGTATTATTACTTATCCACGTTCAAGAACATCTTTTTGTGTGGCAAGCTAGCAAAAAAGCCACATAGGAAAGAATATGTGAACGCCATAGCACCAAGAGTAAAGAACCTAGAAACCTGAAACTTTGAACCCATACTAAGTGGACCCTAAGGGTGTGCACCTGGGTATTATTACTTATCTACGTGTGTGTGTGCACATATGCATCTTTTTATGAGACAAGCTAGCAAAAAACCACATAGAAAAGAAGTGGTCTCTTATGATACAAATAGAAATCACAGATAGACATGCATGTGTGTGACCACCATAGCTCCATGAGGAAAGTACTTAATAAACCTGAAATTTTTCACCCATACTAAGTGGACCCTGAAGGTTTGCACCCGGATATTACTTATCCACTTGTGTGCATCCATGTGCTCATCTTTTTAATGAGGCAAGCTAGCAAAAAATCACATAGAAAAAAATTTGTAACTGCCATAGCTCTATTTGTTGAAAGTATAAAATGAAATATATAAACAACAAAATTAGAACATTTGTTGATTTCTTAATTTAGAATCTCTGTTGATTAAAAAGCTTTGTTTTTTATAAAAAATGATGGTGATATAACTGAAAATACCTTAATTCGGAAATAATTTAAATTTAAAATTGGATCAATATTTTTACTTTCGTGATAAATTTTATGCACTTGCTAAAATATATCAACCTAATAACCTGTGCAAAGCTAGATACTTTCAACAGTATATATATATATTTAGAAAAGGTAGAAATTAAAGAAGAGAATACATCATAAGGAAGGATAGCACCAATCTTACATAGCATATACAAACCTCAGATGAAATACAATTAAATGTTAATTTATGAATGATAGAAAAAAAACATCCAACACCTGAGCATAAATCATAAGGTGGGTCATCATGTAATGTGCCCTGATTTTTAGAGGTACTGGTGGTAGTAAGACCCAAATCGCAGCCATAATACAAACATCCATCACCTTGGCACAAATCATAAGGTGGGTCATCATGTAATGTGCTCTGGTTTTTAGAGGTACTGGTGGAAGTAAGACCCAAATTGCATTGGGGGTATACCCAACTTTGCCAGTCTCACATGACTAAAAAAAAAAGAGCAGATGTGGGTGCTCTAGCCCACAACATCCAACATATTTATCACCTTTTGCTGTCTGCAGCCAGATGTTGGAAGGTGGTTGCTCACAAAAAAATATATATATATAAAAGCAGCAAGAAATAATAGAATACATTACATCATTGGGGAAGACAGTAAAACTGTCCTTGAAGTTAGCATTCCAGCCCCCAATATGATATTTGGACATAAATACGAAGATTTTAAGGTACACTATAGTAAGCCTAACCACTATTATAAGTATAGCTTCCATCCTCCACCCTTCCATGCTGCTATCTGGGTCTCCAATGGTTCTAAAGAGATCCACACAGTAGTGGCTCTTATATAAGGAAAGTGATATAACTACCACTACATTAATCTACCTATACAAGATGTGAACTCTCAAGGACAGTTTTGCTGTCTCCCCATTGATGTAATGTATTCTATTATTTCTTGCTGCTACTTTATTTATATATGTTTTTAATCATGTGAGGCCAGGGAAGTTGAGGTTAAACTTGATAGATGGTGTACTCCCAATGCAATTTGGGTCTTACTTCTGCTAGTTTCTCTAAAAACCAGGGCACATTACATTTGTTGATTTGTGCCCAGGTGTTGGATGTTTGTATTATGGCTACAATTTTTTTTCTCTCTCTCTCTCATTAATTTACATTTAATTATATATATATAAAATTAGATTTCATTTTGTATGAAATTAAAAGAAAAAATGAATAAGTAAATAGATAAAACAAAAATATACTTGAAAAAATAAAACACAGCCACAAAACCAATATCCAACCCCAGGGCACAAATCATATGGTTGGTCATTGTGCTCTGGTTTGTTTATGAAGTACTGGCAGAAGTAAGACCCAAGTTGCATTGGAAGTACACTATCTATTCAGTTTAACTATACTTTCCTGGATATTTGTTTTATGGCTGCATTTGTATCTTGTCAAGTATATTTTTTTCATTTATTTATTTCATTATTTTTTTCTTCTCTACAAAATTCAATTAATTATATTTCATCTAAGGTTTGGATATGCTGTGTAAATTTCACACTATCCTTACTTTCGATGTAATCTGTTTAAATTTTTTTTTAATTTACTTAAATAATTATATGTAGATATATATATATATACTTACGAAATTTTTCTTGCCAATGCACATCACACTAGTGTAAATCTTGTTAGTGCTAAGTTTGTGATTTGTTCAAAATTTCTTCTCTGTACAAAACAGTTTTATCTTTAGTAACTGTTATTGAGCATAAATATATACCTGTTTCATTGCATATTGGAGCCTCCTTACAATGATAAGCATACATATTTAAACGTGAATATTTGGTCTTGTAAAAGTCAATATATAGAATTAACATAAACGTTTTAATTTCCCATGTTTACATAAGTATTTTGTTTGACATAAAATCTTAGTCCTTTATTTTTTATATCCAAACAGTATATCTAAAAATTAAAATAATTAGCACCAATCTCATATTTTGTGTTTATTTCCAGATTTTTATTCCATTTTCCTACAGAATTCTACACAGTAACAGCCAACATAATTTTTATATTACATTGTCTCTAAAACCAGAAACATGAAATATAGAATTCTACATAGAATTTAGAAGAAAACATTCCTCAAGTTCAATAAACATATATACAGCATTTGGCTCATTTCTATCCAAAATATATCATGTTTTTATATTAATAATTTTCATTTTTGACACAGAAGGAAGTTTTGTTTCCATTTAGTGGACCTTTAACAAATTTTATTTGTTGATTGTATATTATTGCAATAATAGTGACTAGCTTGAAGCACAAATAACATTACAAAATTATTAGCTAATTTTCTCTGTGTATAACTAGAATCTTCTGACTTTTTTCTTAAGTAATGACTGTCATTATAAATTTATATTTTGTGTAATTCTATGAAACGGAAACCTAGTAAGGCATAAAATTTGCAATTGTGTAAAGTAGACTAGTTTAAAATATATATAATAATTTGTTCTCACCATCATAGTAATTTTTTTGTAGTCTTTTTCTTTACCTTTTTAAATAATATTGAATTAAGCAACAAATATTTTAACAGGTATGGTGTATAAAAGGTATCTTTACATTAATATAACTGCAAATGATTTATCTTTGGCTTTTTAAATAACTTTTTAAATTTACATGCTCTTTTTCATAACCTATACCAAAAGGCACCTTTTGTAGGCTTGTTTTTTAATGAAATTATATATTTTCTTATTATTGAAAAATACAATTAACAACGTTCTCAGAAGATTACTTACAATACAGATCTTAGTACAACAGTCAGACAAATAAAACGTTCTTCTCATTTAAGCTCAGATTTTAGTACCCTCTTTGTCTAACACACAAACAAACAAATTCTAGTTTAAATTTCTAACATATTTATGGTAATATACAGAAGCTTATATTTACCTAGGTTTTTAAGTTCTCTGATGCAAGAGTTAAAAAAAAACACAAGGTAATAGAAGACAAATTATTAACACAGTTGATTGTTCTTCTGGAAGCAATCATGCAAGCTTTATACATACTGAGTTTGTGAAGCCCACCTGGAAACATAAAAAGCATTGTTAACACAATTCAACATCTGATGCTCTTTCTTTAAAAAAAATCTATTAAAAATGGTAATTTGACTAAAAACAAGGTATTAACACTGGTGATTGTATTTCTGGAAGTAATCATGAAAGTTTTATATATAGAATTATGAAGCCCACCTAGAAACATTAAAAACTGTTAAAATACTTCAACATTTGATGCTCTTTGTTTAAAAAATTAAGGATAAATTACTGGGCTTTTTCTTATTCAGTTTATTAAAACAATTACTAATATTTCTTAGGACCAGTCCATCAATTTGAATTTCAAAGGCAGAAATCTTATTTGCTTACTGAGCTTCCCACAATCAACAAGGTCCCTAGTATGTTTTACTTCTTGTTCTTAAACATCTTAACATACAATAAGGACTTTCAGAGGAATAAATACCCATATGTTTACTGATTAGTTCTGTACTATATCAGTCACTGAAACATTTTTAATAATGTACCGTGTAAAATCTTAAATTGGTACATGGTTTTATACTTTTAAGCTGCAATAAATATATTTTTAACTTTGGCTAGTAATTTTCCTTTTGTTTGTTTTGTTTTAAGCACAAAGCTACAATGGACTATCTGTGTTGTGACCATCATGGGTTTAAAACCCAAAGTTTTAGCATTATAAACTGCAAGATTACTGCTGGTCCACCAGGGGAGGCTGTAATTTTTTGATAAAAGAAAGCACAAGATTAACTGAAATTTATTTGTTTTTTAATATCACAGAAAAAAAAAAAGAGTTGAAATTATGCTGTTTAGGAATAAAATTCTTACTTTTATTAAATGTTTTTCCAACTTGTTCAAGACAGTTACCTTGAATTTCTGGTGTTTATACCAAAAAAAAAAAAGAGTAAATTTAGTAAGGAGTGTGACATATTACATGAATTGTAAAACTTAAATTTAT